GAATTTATTTTCTTATTTTTCGCTGAAGGCACGAGTCCGTGAAAATAAAATCCAGTAAATATACCATTTTCCATATGTTAAACATCCAACTCATCAAAAATTAGTGAAAATAAATTCCATACAAAATACCCCAAAAAATTAATTCCAGCTAAAATAAAGAATTTTACAGTATTCTGATAAATCACATAAAATACGCAGGGTGAGTATAGGAGTCGGATGGTGTCACTGTATCACGTAAAAAAAATAGGTGACGGAATTACTACGTGGTGGATACAGTGGGCCAGTTTAAATGAAATGTCATTATAGGGCTCCCTCAGTCCTCATTGTAATCCTAACTTTGTCTCCTCCAGTACCCCTCCTATATTTTAATCTGATATACCCCTCTTTAAAAAATGTATAGTTACCAGAAGGGGCATGTACAATTATATTGCTGGAGTGATATAGTTTAGGTTAGGGGTGGGGGGCCTTAAAGAAGTCATTCTGTTTAAATCAGAGGTGAAACTAAGGCCTGCCCACCTCTTACAGGCAGGCAGATTTTAGCTGGGACAGGTAAACGTAGAAATTGCCTATCCCTGTGGAATTAAGGCCTGTCCACCTGTTACAGGCAGGCAGATTTTAGCTGGGACAGGTAAACGTAGAAATTGCCTATCCCTGTGGAATTAAGGCCTGTCCACCTGTTACAGGCAGGCAGATTTTAGCTGGGACAGGTAAACATAGAAATTGCCTGTCCCTGTGGAATTAAGGCCTGTCCACCTGTTACAGACAGGCAGATTTTAGCTGGGACAGGTAAACGTAGAAATTGCCTATCCCTGTGGAATTAAGGCCTGTCCACCTGTTACAGGCAGGCAGATTTTAGCTGGGACAGGTAAACGTAGAAATTGCCTGTCCCTGTGGAATTAAGGCCTGTCCACCTGTTACAGACAGGCAGATTTTAGCTGGGACAGGTAAACGTAGAAATTGCCTATCCCTGTGGAATTAAGGCCTGTCCACCTGTTACAGGCAGGCAGATTTTAGCTGGGACAGGTAAACGTAGAAATTGCATGTCCCTGTGGAATTAAGGCCTGTCCACCTGTTGGGAAAATGGCAGATTTTAGCTGGGACAGGTAAATGTAGAAATTGCCTGTCCTTGTGGAATTAAGGCCTGTCCACCTGTTACAGACAGGCAGATTTTAGCTGGGACAGGTAAACGTAGAAATTGTCTGTCCCTGTAAAATTAGGACCTGTCCACCTGTTACAGACAAGCAGATTTTAGTTGGGACAGGTAAATGTGGAAATTGCCTGTCCCTATGCAATTAAGGCCTGCCCACCTGTTACAGACAAGCAGATTTTAGTTGGGACAGGTAAACGTAGAAATTGCCTGTCCCTGTGGAATTAAGGTCTGTCCACTTGTACCAGACAGGCAGATTTTAGCTGGGACAGGTAAACATAGAAATTACCTATCCCTGTGGAATTAAGGCCTGTCCAAATGTTACAGACAGGCAGATTTTAGCCAGGACAGACAAAAGTAGAAACTGCCTGTGGATTGAAATATGACCTATTTTGACCTTTAAAAAACCTCTGTTATTTATTTAATCGCATTTATTATGGTTGGGAGGAGGGTAGGGGGATTATTCAAGGTGACGAAAGTTCACTGGAGGTTAAAGTTATTCATAGTATGGTTTCTATAACAACGCAGTCATGTACTACACAAGTACTGACCACTCTGTTGTTAAG